GAAAGAGAGAGAGAGAGAGAGAGAGAGAGAGAGAGAGAGAGAGAGAGAGAGAGTGAGAGAGTGAGAGAGAGGGCCCCATCTGCCATGGAAACAAAAACACCCCCACCACCACCACCTTATTCACGGTCAGCCACCGATAGACTGTGACATAGATAAACACACTGGGCTCCACGGGCTCCATACTCCTCTGTCCTGTGTGTCTCAGAAAGCCCTTTTTCATTCACTGCTCCTGTGGAAAAAAAGAAATCTGCCATTCACAAGGCTTTACAGGATGGCTTCACAGACATAATAATGCATGTGGAAACAGAAAAGGATTCTTGTTATGACAAGTGAAGGAACAGAAAAACATGTTGTGTTGTTTACTTGAGAGATTAAGGATTACTCTGGTGTGGTCTCAAGTATGGTGTCCAAGTGAGGCATTGCTCTACTCAAAGTACTGGGTTAAAAGACCTGAGGAATTAGCCTAGAGTTTGACAGAGTCTGGGCACATGGTTTTCATTAATGCACAATTGGACTCTGCTGTAGGTCTCCCAGTGAGTGCTAGTTGACATGGAGGTTGAACTGTGAGAATCCACATTCACAGTCCCATTAGGAACTGATAATGGCGCATAAATCACGACCACACAACCGTTCGGTTAGTTTCACGCCAAACTGCAGCACTGTTTAGTGGTGAAGGTATTTATGGTTGCGCGTTTGTAAATGACGATGAGCAAAAAGACTTATAGGTCTGAATGGCATTGATGTGTTTGTGATATTATAAATCCAGGATTTTTCATTTTACATGCAATTTGCAGGCAAACAACTTGTCTACACAAAATAAATAAATATAAAAATATCAATCAAAATAAAATGTCTTTATTGGCATATGGTTCCATGGAGAACATCCATGAAATCTTTCTATTGCACAACAGGTTCTTCATAGCAGAAAACGGATTTTTAGATATTTTTTGGAAACGAAAAATGGTTATTTTAAGAAGTGTTCTCTGAAAAGCTCTTTGGGAAATGACTGCAACCCCCCCTCGAAACTTATTTTATATGCAAAAATGTGTTTATTATATTATTATTTGTTGATTGTGATTATTGATGTTTGTGTGTGTTTTTCACATAGCAGCATTCCTTCTAGCTGCAAAAAGGAATAATAAACCATTTTAAAAGGGATGATCTAATCTTTCATTATTGGGAGCGTTTTAGTGTTGCCTAAAGATATCAACAAAGCTTTTTAAAAACATCTACTAAATTCTAGCTGTTTTGATCACAACAGTGCAATATTCACATATTTTACAATGTCCAATGGTGATAACAAGAGCTGGAAATGAATGGGTAGTGCTTTATATGGCAGCTGTTGGAATGGAAGTCCTATATTGTGATTAAATGAGCCAGTCAGGTTTT